CCCAACTACACCGGTTCAGGGTTTTGAGTTTAGGGCCTACCTAGTTTTGGGTTTAGGGTTTAGGCTATTAGGGCCAGGATGTGGTTTAGGTTTTTGGGTTTATATCAGTTTTTTCTTGGGCTTTTGGGTTTCAGGAGTTTTGGGTTTGGGGTTTAGGGTCTTGGGCCTTGGGTATGACTGGAAAGTTTCTTGGCTGAAAAACACCACGCCGACAGCCGACGACCCTACCAAACAAGAGCAGTTTTGTGTAAAGAGCATGGAGTTTAGATCTTTGCACCTGGCTGGTGGGTAAAGGGCCGAGGGTTGAGGTGTAGGGTTCAGGGTTTAGGGTTTAACCCTACCCCCAAAAAAAGTGTACATATATATATATATATATAGGTAATTATTTAGGCTTCTATATTAGCCAGGTGAAGACAGAGAGGCCAGAAGATGGCGACGAGGCATCGGACTCCGAGCCTTCTCTCGGGTTTTTGAGCTGTCGGATATCTTTCGGCTCGGGGCTCCGAATTAGGGTTTACGGTTTAGGGTTCAGGGTTTCGGGTTTAGGGTTTAGGGTTCCGGGTTTAGGGTTTAGAGTTCCGACTGTGTGGGGTATAGCAGGTTTCAGGCAGGGGCTTCGGAACTTGAGCTGCAGGGTTTAGGGTTTAGGAGTTTAGGCTTTGGGGTTCAACCTTTTAGGGTTTAGGGTTAAGTCCTGGTTGTCGCAAGTGCATCTAACCGCAGGAGGGTTTGCAGTTGGGGGAGGTTGGCAATGTAGCGGCTTCCTCAACCAGTTGAGATCTTGTGGAGTTTACAACAGCGAGAGCATGAACAGCAAAGGTCGTAACCTAGTCTCTGTGCGCGAAGAATACGAATGGTTCCCAAAGCCCCTCATCAAGGACTGAGCTCAGGCCTTATTATAGCATGGAATTCAACTGTGGACTGCAATACACAGTTCTACTAGTGAAGGCCCTGTGTTCCCAGAGACCCCAAAACCCCTGAAAATTGCGAACATGCCTCAAATTGTTTCAGGGTTCCTATATGTTCCCCGTATATTTCTGATGGAAGATATTCCGAAAATAATTTCGTAATTGAGGCTCTGCGTACATTAAGCCCAGGTCATGGCAGACCCAGCCGGCTTCATGACGGGCACCGTTAAGATCGAGGCGTCGGGATTTAGGGTCTAGGGTATAGGGTACAGCGTTTATGGTGCAAGGTATAGGGTTCAGGGTTTAGGGTTTAGGGCTTCGGGTACGTATAGGGTGTTGCGTATAGGGTTCCGGGTTTAGGGTTTCGGGTATCTTGGTTCCGGCACGGTCTCTGCTGGAGGTCATAAGACTGTTGGCCATTTGGGTCTGGGGAGTGAGGGTGCTAGAGATTCTGTATCGGGGCTAAACTAGCATCTAAGCACACACTTTTAGTGTGGATAGTCCTGCCTTGCTGGGCTTAGGCTTATGTTCTGCTTGTGGCTTTGACCCTAAACCCGAAAACCATAAACCCTAAAACCCTAAACCCTAAAACACTAAACCCTCAACCCTAAAACCCTAAACTGTTACAGGGCTTGGGTTCAGACTGTTGTCGGGCTCTGGGGCTTGGGGCTTCGCTTCCCGGACCAGGCTTGAGAAGCGTGTGGGGTTTAGGGGTTTAGGGTTTAGGGCTTACGGTTTAGGGTTTACGGCTTGAGGGTTTAGGGTTTCAGGGGTTTAGGGTTTAGAGGTTTGGGGTTTAGGGTTTTTTAGGGTTTAAGGTTCGTAAATGTCTAGGGTTCAAGATGGTCTGAGACCGTGTTTCGGAGAGGCTCTGGGGAAGCTTTATGCAGGCTTCTAGTGCTTGTAGAAGGGCCGTTGATGCGGTTTGGGAAGTCAGGGGCTGAAGGCTTAAGGTGTTTCTACGTGTCTGTGGGTGTTGGGGCTTCATGAGCGTACAACTAGGACTTCGGCTGTCGTCGGTCTTATAATTCCAGTGTATACAGGGTCAGGACTTCGTGTCTGGGCTTGAGCGTTTAAGGTCCATGGCGTGGTAAATGCGTGCAAAGATTGGGGCTTGTAGCCGATGCATCCTAGCGTTGCGACGACTGCAGCTGTTGCTGCTGCGACTAGTGCCACTTTTACGACCGTGAGGGCGATAAACTCTTACTACAGCTGCTGCTACTACTACCACTACCACTACCACTACCACTACCACTACCACTACCACTACCACTACCACTACCACTACCACTACCACTACTATTATTATTATTATGACATCAGCACCAAACAGGGTCGAAATGAGTCCAGCCACTTTGTCGGCTTTGCGGGGAATGATGCGGGAAGAACTTGCAGAGCTCGAATCATCGATGTCACGCAAGTGGGATGACACAATAGTCCAGCTACGGGAGGAGCTTCGAGTTGAAAAATCAGCGAGGTTGAAGCTTGAAGAACGGGTATCACGTTTGGAAATCAACGTACCGTCCACTACACAACAAGACGATCTTGAGAAGGCAGTGGCAGTCATTGGTGGGTTTGGTCAGTTGGATGCACAAGAAGCAGAGCACCTCGTGAGCACAACGCTTGCTGATGTAGATGGCTTGCAGGACGTCTACTCCACAAATCCAAAGCCAGCAGTGCTATTTGCTCAGTTCGATTCAGCAGCACGCATGCACAAGTTCGTTCGAGCACAAAAGTGCCACCAAGAAATGCAAAAGCACAAACTCTGGGCGGCGGAGAACAAGTCAGCAGCAGAACGACGTCGTGGCAAGATTACCAGCAAGATCAAAAAGTTTGCCATTGAGATCGATTCCATAGCCCCGAAGGACATTTTGGCAGATTACCGGACACATAAAGTCTTGATGAGGACAGCGAACAAGCTTGTACATGTGGCCGACGTTGATGTCGACGGAGTTGTTCAGTGGGCAGTGCCTTGTCCGGTCAGCGAGGACGTTCGCAAGGCAATTGATGGTTTGGTTGCAGACTTGGAGTAGGGACATGCTGTAAGCGAAGATCTTGCAGTCGCGGGCGTTCACAATAAGGCTGAGCATCCAGGAGGCCGTCACTCTTGTAAGAATGCAGCCGATGATGTGGACACACAACCCATGTACTTGAATTTGCATGTTGTCACCAAAAATGTACAAAGTATCCGAGATGAGACTCGTTTTCAAGATTGCTTGGTTGAGCTGGACAGTGGTGCGCATGACATTGTCTTGTTGACGGAAACTTGGCGATCTGAATGTGAAGAAGTTTTCTCGACACCAGGTTGTGGCAAGATATATTTGAGCGGCGGCCTGGCTCACCGTGGTGTCGGCATTTATGTTTCACGGCAGTTTTCGGCATTCATGGAGAAGCCACGTTTTCATGCTTTTTCGCCTCGCTTGTGCATGTTACAGTTTTCACGGCAGGGACGCTAATTTCATGTTTACGCTTGCTATTTTCCGACATCATGGGACAGCGATGATGATGTGGAGCAGGTGTATGATGTTCTGGATGTGTTGTTATTGCATACCCAAACAGCGACCGCATTCCCATTGATAGGTGGTGATTTCAACGCTAACGTCGGGGCATTGATTCCACATGATATTTCACAACTTCTGGGTGGTTGGGGAAGTGGACCCAGGAACGATCGAGGACGACGACTGGTACACTGGGTTTTAACGCACGGGTTTCAAATAATTAGTCGACACGCAGCGCATGCCGAAGATGCTGACAGTTGGACGTGTCAACGTGCATCCGACGGGGCGCAGGTTCAGTTGGATTTTATCTTGGCAGATACTCGAGTAACACCCATACAAACATGGCATGACTTCTCCATCGGGACTGGGGTTGACCATCGCTGTGTACACTGCACCTTTCGTGTTTGCGTTCGCAGTCCGCGGAAGTTCCGACGCAAAACTCGCAGTTTTCGCTCCTGGAGGCCAAATGTAGACGATCAAGGTGACGCTTCCGATTACAAGTTCGCCTTACAAGCCTCGGTGGCTGATCATGAGCATGCAACGTTTGATGAGCTGGAACAGCTTCTTTCATCTGCAGCGTCTCGATGTGGGACGTGCCAACTTGATGATTTCAATTTCCGCCCATCACGGCAGCTGCAAAGCTTGCGTGTGCAACGACATGCTTGTGGCGATGCTGGAGCGCGTAGAGCTTTGAGTTTGCAGATCTTTCGTATGCAGCGCCGCGAAGTACGGGTTTGGAAGGCTTCAAAAATTCAGCCTGCGTTGCAGGCATCATCGTGGTCGAGCATGAAGTCGTTACTTTCCTCCTTTGCCGGCAAGCCGAAGTCGTTGCAGCCTCCACCGGATGAGTTTGCTGACGAGTTGGGGAAGCTATTTTACGCGATTCCACCGCTGCCTTGTCGACCGCAAGCTTTGACGGAAAATGCTTGGAGCATGAGCGAGCTCATTTCTGCGTTACGAAGGATGAAAGTCAACAAGGCGGCCGATGAAGTCGGCTTGGTAGTTGAGTTGCTTCAGCATGCACCCAACTTGTTTCTGCAAGAATTGTTACGGTTGTACAACCACGTCTTGCATACAGGAGATGTTCCGACGAGCTGGCATAAAGGCAAAAACCACAACGGATTTTCGACCTATTGCCAATGTTCGGTTGCTGTACAAAACTTTTGCTTGCTTGGTTTTGGGTCGGATTGAATCTGTCTTAGATGCACATCAACCTGAGGAGCAACATGGATTCAGGAAGGGACGCCGCATCGAAGAGCACTTATTGACAGCAAATACCGTGTTGGACAAGACATTGGCGGCCAACATTCCTCTGTGGGTAATTAGCATTGATTTTTCAAAGGCGTTCGACCGTGTGTCATGGACAGCTTTATGGTCGGCACTTGCGCAGCATGGCGTTTCCGCACACTTGATTTGGATATTGCAAGAGCTTTATGGTGGACAGTTAGGAGTTGTTCGAGGTGATGATGGAGAGTCCAGTCGTTTGTTTCAGATTTCGGGCGGAGTTCGTCAAGGATGTGTGCTCAGTCCGCGCTTATTCTGTGCAGTATTGCAATTAGCAATGGGTGGATGGAGACGTAATGTCGACGCGGCGGGCATTGACTTATACGACAACCTGCCGAAGCTGTTAGACGTTCGCTTTGCTGACGATGTTTTCATTTTCACGACATCTTCGCGGCATGCAGCGTGGATATTGGACGAGCTTGTCCGATGTTGCAGTCACGTCGGGCTTATTCTCAACCCAAAGAAAACAAAAATCATGACGACGGACGCTCAAGCTCCACCACAATTGACGGCTCCTTGTGGACTGACTGTGGAGATCCTCTCGGGGGGCACAACACATCGTTGGCTGGGATGCTTGGTGTCTGACGAAGGGTCTGGTAACACAACGGCCGACGTAGATTTTCACCTGCAATCTGCCTCCCGTGCTTTTCATGCAAATCGCCATACTCTTTGCGACAGGAATGTTTCCGTTGTCGACCGATTGAAGTTTTTTGATAGAGCCATTTCGCCGATCGCGTGCTTTGCAGCTGGGCATCGGACGATTTATTCAGCGGACTTGCATCGACTTGACGTTCATTTCCGCAAACATTTGCGCCAGATTGTTGGTGCACCACCAGATACCAAATGGGACGATCCATGGCATGATGTGTTGCATGACTGGAATGTGCGGGCTATGGGATTTTGGGCGAGGCTGCATCGACCCACGTGGTCCTTTAACTGCTTGAGGCAACATTGGAATCTGGCGATGTATGTTATCAATCTGCCAAACACGCGTTGGGTGAAACGTGTTCTAGCATGGGATCCTGTTGGCACACGTGTTCCTGGAAGACCGAAGAATTCTTGGGCCACTAGTTTGGAGAATTTCGCGCGCTGGAAAGGCTGGAATGACTGGACGGTGATGGCAACAAACGCTGAGAGTCCTAGCCGCTTTTGCGATGAATATGTGAATTTCATGTTTCCTACCAGAAATGAGCGGTAGCCCGATTGACATCGTAGACTTGCAAGCAGTTAGGCTGTTTTCCCTGCGCCCTTAAAGGGCCGCCTTCGGGCGTTCAGGCGACTCGACACTACTACTACTACTACTGCTGCTGCTGCTGCTGCTACTACTACTACCACCACTACTACCACTACTACTACTACTACGACGACGACGACTACTACTACTGCTATTGCCACGTGGTGGTGGTGGTGTGCTGATGTTGTTGGTGATGCGCACTTTGCAGGTTGAGCTCCAGCTCTTCGGTGAGGTGCATTTCGTAGAGAGGACGGCCTGGTCCCCGTTCTTCTTGATGCTGGGCTCGCAAATAACCTGTCCTGGGGTTCGAGATCTGAGAGTTCCGCATTTCGGCAGGAAGTGGTGGAGTTTCTGCCTGGTACAGGGGCTTCCCAGGTTCTGCGGAGTCTGTCGCGTGGTGTGCTGAGGTGGGGCGTCTTCTTCTATGTCTTCGGAACTTTTTGGATTCTGGAGTTCCTGTCCTTCAGCAACAAGTACATCACGGCGCAGGCTTCATTTATAGCTCGCAAGAGGTCAGAACATCAAACCCAGAATCCATCAGAATTCCGATGTCGCCCCGGTGACTGAGAAAATTATAGCCTTCTTTGATACAGGTCAACGAAGGCATAGTCTACTTCCGGGTTAGAGGTATTCAGTTTGTCTCGAAGGAACAGGGGCTGAAGTGCGAGGCCGCTATCGTTTCTTAGCAGTCAGGCTGAGCATGAAAGTAGTAAGAATAGCCAAAGTGCCAGGGTTAAGATATTGACGCGTCGGGATGGCATGCCGCAGCAACACTCGCGCTGTGTGCCCGGCACAGAGTAGACTGACAGCCCCGAAGTAGACTGCGCCCGAAAGCACGGTCTAGCTTTGCGACCCCGACCCAAGTGTCGCTTTCCAGATCCTCTGCGCCAACTACTTCCACCTCAAAGCCCGGAACCTTCAGATGCAGGCCCAAGTTGCAAATAAGACTTTCTGTTGGTGCTGGGCTTCACTGGATTCCTGAGCAGGAACATATCTTGAAGTTTGGGACATTTTTTACTGGATTCCCTGCAGCAAAAGCTCGAGGGCATAGGTTTTGTTTGAGCAAAAGGCCCTACTTCTGACTTGCGGACGCCCCCAGGCCACGATCATTATGGCGAGAGGCTGGTTCATAGGTTCTGCTACTAAAAGTTAGTTTCAGATGACTCCATACTAGCTTCGTGTCTCGTTTCACGGCTGTGGCCCCTGTCAAGCAATGCGCCCTAAACCCTAAACCCTACCCCCAAGTCAAAATCTGAAGCCTTGACACCACAAACCTGGAGAAGAGGATCTCGCAATGCGGTAGGTCCAACCCGACAATTTGCGAGTTTCGGCAAATGGGCGACCCCAATACCGACCCCCAGGAAAGGGGCCCATAACTTTATGGAGGCCCAATGTACTGCAGGAGATTGGCAGCGGGAGGCCCGCCCCCATCCGCTACGCCCTCTACTCCATGTTCCGAAGCCTGGCTTTTCGAAGTTCTTGAGCTAAAGGTGGTCGAGGGTCCTGCATCTGCTTCAGAATCACATTCCGATTTCAAGAGTTGTGAGCATTTAACAATGCCAACAGTAACAGTCTTTCTCAAGCCCTACTTGGAGGTTCATGGGACTTAATAAGTACAGTTATAAGTACCCTAATTGGGGTTATAAGTACTTATAAGTATAGTTACCTTATTTATAAGCCTAGTTACTAAGTCCCATGAACCTCCAA